GAAGAAGAAGAAGAAGAAGAAGAAGAAGAAGAAGAAGAAGAAGAAGAAGAAGAAGAAGAAGAAGAAGAAGAAGAAGAAGACGAGATTGGCTCTCTCTGTCTGATGGAGAATGCCTTGCGCGCAGGCAGCCCTGTGCTAGATAGAGGTTGGGAGGACGGGATTGCGAGGAGGCCCTTTCTTCGCTTTGGTGATGTGCACCTCACCTACCTTGGATATGGGTTATGGATCGCGTGCTCCCTTGTGTGTACTTATGTGTGTATGTGTATGTGGGCGCTCTGCTTATACTTTACTTACTACTCAGTGACAAGTGAATGATCACCGTCTCCTACAGTTCCGCATGCTATGTTGCGTCGTCCGCCGGTGGAGACGAGGACGAGGACGATGACCATGGTCATAAAGCTTCGATTCATAATAGGATATCAAAACACCAAAATTCAAATCTCGTATCCGAGATCGACATTCATCATCTCCGCGTAATACTTACTTACTCGCTCGCTCGCTCGCTCGCTATGGTGCTATGGTATGGTATCGTAGTAGTACTAAAACATGCGCGACTGAAAAAGCCAAGAGGCACAAACAAAAACATTCCCGCTAAACGCTATCACAGAAAGATTTCAAAACAGATTTTCATCGGAAAAGTTCGCCCCTCGACCCCGATTCATGTATCGTCAGTCCAACCCGGTTGCTCTACTTCAGAAGAACGTCCAGCCAACGACTCGCCCGTTTCGGAAATGGTCGATGGAGCCAAGCAACATCTCACGTAGTCGTCATCAGTGGTAGGTCAGAGTCCAAGAAGAACGTTGAGCTCCACCAACAACCGCACAAACACAGCATGCAGCTCCAGGAAGAAATCTGGCATGCCCACCAGCTCCGCCAGTCCCTTCGCCCGCAGGCTCATCCCCGCGTATCTGCCATCTGCGCCGCGATTCCTACCACTCAAGAAAGACGACGTAGGCGTGCTGTAATTGCTGTGTCCCTCGCTACCGCTTATTTGAGGACTATCAGGGTCGCCAGTGGAAGCAGCCCCCTCGGCCAAGGACTGGATCCATGCAGCGATCTTGGGGAAGCGGTCGGAGAAGAACGAGAAGCTCTGCATAGCAACGCGCTCGCGGTGCGTGCTGAGCGCTATCAGGGCGTAGACTCTGCGCCGACCACGCGCATTTGGGTCTGGGATACGAAAGACGAAGGCGGTAGTGTAGCCAGCCATGGAATCGCCGAAGAAGATGGGGCCGCCGGACATCGAGGTCGAAGAGGACGGGCCAGGGGAGAATGGAGTGTTGATATAGGGAGATGTAGGCGATGAGGTGCGCGTGTTGGGGGATGGGGGGAGTGTCTCACAGGAGAGGGTGCGCAGACAGGATTGCCGGACGAGAGAGAAGGAGGTGGGCGCCAGTGGTTCGTGGGTGGAGGTGTAGTCTAGGTAGTGCTCGTGGGAGGTCACCAAGAAGGAGGAGTCGCTCGAGGACGTACCAACTCGGACGATTGTTCTGGAGCGCGTTCTGTGGTGGGAGGGCCTGCTTGAGATGGCATTGTCGGAGTCGGAGGACTGGGAAGAGGAGACGGAGGTTGGAGGTGAAGGTGAAGGTACGCTGACTCGCTCATATGGTTTGCGCGTTCGGAATATTGGGGCATTGGTGTCGATTGAATTCGTCGTAACTCCTTCATTTGTTGCCTTTGGCAGAGTGAGCCTGCAATTTTCGCAGGGCGCAGATTTCTTCTTGTCATTCTCATCGTATGTCTTGCTGAAGCTTGAGTTCCGTCTGGTCATACCCAATGCTACAGCTCGTGGACTCTCTGGCGGCGTCTCGATCGCAATCTGTGAAATTGGGGTTGCGCTTGGGGTTGGGGACGTTGGAAGCTCGTCACCGGCCCTCTCTGACAGAACTGAATTGTTCCTGTTGGCACCTTGGGTAATCGCTGCGAGGCCATCTGCAGGATTCAGAGATCTAGAGCTGCTGGGTCGGCGCGAGCTCTTGCCCTTGCCCTTGCTCCGGCTTTGGCTTTCGAAACACGATGTGCAACCTACGGGCAGCCCCTCGGTCACCATCAGCGGGGTTGGTCCATGAGTGTCGCAATAATGCGCAAGACACAACTACACGCGATACCTGGTCAGTAGTATGCTCTGGGAATAAAATAGGTAACCTGCTATCCGCAGAAGATGCGCGTCGGCTGGCGCAAACGCTGGGACGTGGGGGGAGGAGGATGCGGTGGGCATGCGACAAAAGATAAGGGAAGGGTAGATGGGTCTTACAATGGAGGCCATGATTGGGGTCCTGGGCCCTGAATTTTAGGTCCTGCTGCGTCTCGCGACGTTCTGGTTCAGTCGGAATGCCCGAAGTGCGTCAATAAAGTAGAGAGATGGGTGCCCGCGCCGTCTCGCGAGAGGTCGGGGGTTGGAATTGAAAACGGGGTCGTGAGGATGGGGATTGTTGGGAGCTATGGAGGTCCTGTTTGTTCGTGTTCGGATTCGGGCTCGGGCTCGGGCTCGGGCTCGGGCTCGGGCTCGGGCTCGGGCTCGGGCTCGGGCTCGGCTCAGAGTAGACTCGGGAAGTTGACTCGGGAAGTTGACTCGGGCAGAGGAAAGCGATACTTCGTAGTACTGTATGAAATCAATATCTCCGCTGAGAAAATTCGATCAAATCGAGATGGTCAATAGACATATATATATACAACAACCACTGTCATATCATTGTTATTATCATCGTCATCCGGAGTGAAAAAGAAGGTCGGGGAATCAACTTTCAAGGCAAATGAGCAACATCCGGGCTCACCGCTAGATCATACGTACAGAAATAATACGATATGCATACCTACCTGCCTACCCCTTTCACCCCGTTTTCATCACCAGCCCTCCCTGCCTTCAGAATTTATATCTTCATTTGAGATGAGGCTCCTCATTATCTGTCGAGCAGCTGCCTTCGCTTGCTTATCGCCGTGCAGAGTAGGTACCATAATCGGGACGTACACACGAGATGCCATGCCACGGTGTTGGTGTTGACTTCCCACGCCAAGGGAGGTCAGCATTTCGCTTAGTCGCGTAGAATGGATTTAGAGTTATACCAAGTCACTCTAAGGCTAAATATGAGTAAGAGGTACTGGTACTATGCATGTATAGTACTTGGTAGTATTGCTTTTATCCAGAGCGCACTGATAGCAACGGTGATTAGGTAGGAAGCTGAATATGGCCTTGCCGATCTATCCATATACGGAGTAGTTGTACTAGTGCCGAATAATCACTCAAGTAAGGTCAAACAGAACGGCGTAGAAGATACAAAGTGGACTGACTCATGCAAACGAAGTTTGACGCTACCCAATCGCAATGACATTGAGTATCATAATCAGACACGCAGTACGCGCTACAAAGGAGGCTGGTAGCCCCTGTTAAGGTTGTACAGTAAGCTAAGTAAGGTAAGCGAGGTGGAGTTGGGAAATCAACACCCGAAGAGATCGTATGCCACACTGTTCGCAGGGGCTTGGAAAGAAGAAGTACAGGCTGGCTTGCTGATACTGGTACTGGTACTGAGGTTACTGCACTCTGGAATCGAGTTGCATTACGGCAACCCAGGGTCAAGTTTCCGGGTGCTTTCATCTCTCCCCTGTATGGGATGGCCTCGGATGTTTACTGAGTAAGTATATAGCCGAGCTTGGGCTACGTCAAGTAAAGCAGAAAGAGCGATATCGGAGACGTACTACGGTACGAAGTTGATGCGTCTACTTTCATTCCTCTTTATTACGTATTGATTCGATCAGATCATCTTGGCAGCTTCATCAGCCTTTATCAGATCTTTTAAGGTTCAAGGTATACTCTAATGGTAGCTTGGCAGCTTTATCAGATCTTTCAAGATGTGTTCCAGGAGTGGGGGCTACCCTCCGCTGGTCAGGGAAAAAATTCCATCTAGTCCTTCTTATTGGGCATCCAAGATCCGACGGGTTACTCTTTACTTTAGAGTAGAATAGTACCTTTGAAGAACCTCTGAAAAAGGCTGCAAAAACCGGGACCCAAGAAACTATATGCAAAGGCTATTGATTCAATGTCCCAGAGAGGTGATACCCCGTTACTACTTACATACTGTACTGACTGTATTGTAGCATAGGGGATATATACTTCAGACTTCCCCCCCCCCGGATTAAAACGTCTGTCAAGCAAACTCGTCACTCACTTCGCTACGATGGATAAGCCTCTCGAACAGAACACCATGGAGGTCATTGCTCAAGCCAAGAGCAGGAGTACCGTATGTCCGGATGGACTGCAAGCAAAAGATGGCATCGACGAGAAAGCACCGTCTGTGCGTGTTGATCAGGAGTCCATATCAAAGACCAACATGGAGTTCGATGGTCAGGATGGAGTCAAAAAGATTGAAGCAATGACTGTGGTTTGGACCAAACCATGGCTGATTACCGCTTATGTATTGTGCGTTCCTCTGATCTCCTCTGGCTGAGATCTGCAGACTAACGAAGCTCGCCCAAAGTGTCTGGGTCATCTTCTTCGTGAACTCTCTGCAGCAACAGGCAAGCTTCGCATGGACCCCCTATGTCACCAGTTCCTTCGCACTTCATGGCCTTACAGCCATCACTGGTGTTGTTTCCAATCTTGTCGGCGGTGTTTCCAAGCTCCCCCTGGCAAAGTTCATAGATGTTGTCGGTCGCCCGCAGGGATTCTTACTGATGTTAATCTTCACAATTCTCGGTTAGTCGTGCCCCGAGGTATCATCGTAGGCTTAACTTCTGACGAGGCCCATTCACCACACAGCTCTGGTTCTCATGGTTGCTTGTAAAAATGTCCAAACATTCGCCGCTGCACAAGTGTTCTATTGGACAGGTATGAACGGAATCGGCTATGTGCTGGACGTCTTCATTGCCGATACAAGCAGTATGAAAAACAGGGCCCTTTTAATGGCCTTTACCACGACTCCCTACATTTCCAACACATTCGCTGGTCCAGAGCTAGGTCAACGGTTCTTAGATGATAGTACATGGCGATGGGGCTTTGGAGCCTTTGCCATCATAACCCCAATCATGTGCGTTCCTTTCTGGACCATCTTCGTTGTCATGATGCGCAGAGCGAAGAGACAGAATATCATAGTCAAGGAGAAAACTGGACGGACTTTTTTGGAATCTGCGTATTACTACCTCATTGAGTTCGACGGTAAGTCCTGTACCAGCTGCAAGTAGTTACGTTCTGACGATACCAGTTATCGGCCTACTCCTCATTGTCGCAGGCTTCTCCCTTGTCCTCCTACCGTTCAGTCTCGTCAGCTACCAAAGGGAAGGGTGGGAGTCACCAATGATTATTTGCATGTTGGTGTTCGGCTTCGTATCCCTAGGACTCTTTGCCGCTTGGGAGAAGTACCTGGCACCAAAGACCTTCTTCCCCTTCCACCTCCTTACCAACCGATCTGTCCTCGCAGCCTGCGTACTGGGAGGCAACCGATGGATAAGCTTTTAGTAAGCTTCACCTGTCCCATTCTACTTTACATATCACTAACACAACCTCGCTCGTACAAAAATTACTACTCCTCATACCTGCAGGTCGTCTTCCAGCTCTCTGTCTCGAAAGCCGGTTACAGTAGGTAATGGGGAAGCCCAAGCAGTTTCCATTGCGCCCAACACATGTCCTCCTTTTCATATTAATGCGGCTGTTGACTCTCGCGTTTCTGCTAGTAAACAACATCTTCAACATCGTCTCATGCGCCTGGGGCGTCATCATCGCAATGTGAGAAGGGCCTCTTCCCTCCACTCAATACCCTACAAACTTCTAATTCCCTTACCTCTGTAGTGCCATCCGCAAATTCGATCGCTTCAAGTGGGCAATGCTCATCGCCATACCAATCAACATCGTGATGACCGGTCTCCTCATCCACTTCCGAGCCGCTGGTTCGGAGATCGCCGCCCTCGTCGTGGTCGAAGTATTCAACGGCATCGCAGGCGGTACGCTAGTAATCTGCGAACAGCTTACCGTCATGTCTGCCGTACCGCATGAACACGTCGCCGTCGCCCTGGCTCTCCTTGACATGGTGACATCAGTCGGCGGCAGCATAGGAACGGCGATCTCGGGCGCTATCTGGACGAATGAATTACCCAGCAAATTGATGCAGTATCTGCCGGAGGAGACGAAGGGGAACGCAACGCTTATATACGCGAGTTTGGTCACACAGTTGGAGTATGAGTGGGGGAGTCCGACGAGAGAGGGAATAGTGAAGGCGTATGAGGGTACGCAGAAACTGATGGTGATCACTGGAGCAGCTACGCTGGTGCCGTGCTGCATCTGGGTGCTTTTTATCAAAAACTTCAGGTTGAGTGAGCACAAACAGAAAGGAGGGCTTGTGCTGTGAACGAGCTTGCTCGGTGAAGCGGTCAGGGTCTACAAATGTCGGTAGCCAGAGAAATCGCGATCGTGACCTCAAAAGGGTACTTGTCGATTTCCAATTTGTTTCAGAGGGCTTTTACCACTTGCGATATATTAATGAGTGTGCCTCTTTCTAATATACGGACTTTTACCGGGCTATCATACGTCAAAAGGGGGGGGGGCGGGGGTTTTTAAAAAAAATTGGTGATTTAAGCGAGCGTGAGTACACAAAATACAGCCAAGAACTTGTTCTTTAATTCGGCAAATGTCTACAAAATTTGGAAATTTTCCCTCTAGTTGGAATATAAATATGCTTGTAACCTGTAATGGCCGTTTCCTACCTACTTATCAGGGTTATATTTCCTCTTCGCAATCGGAAAACATCTAATGAACCTTATCAGAACAATTCAACAAGTACCTATCGACCCAAGCATGATGAATCTACCTATGCATCTCGCTAACCGCCTCGACTATCAAGGTTTCGTCGGTGCAGCCCACACTCATCAAGTGCTCCAAGAACCACAGGCTACTAACGCTCGACTCCTGGGAAATATTTGACAAGCTCACGAGCTGCAATTAAGCATCGATCTATTACGTGATTGTACCGCTGAAATGCGTGATTTCCATAAACAAAGGATCAATCTTCTCGCTTACAATATCATGAACTATTTGGAGTTGGATGATCAAGACTCAGTCGTTCGCGTACCTCTTTACTCTAGAATGAACCAACAGAGAATCAACCGTCTGCGTACTTTCGCTTCGCAACACAAGATTGATCAGGCTTGATTAATCGCGTGGATTCCAAACGAGAGTCTGTATAACCATCGACGTCTCCTCCTTCCAAATAGTGCGAATCCTCGGTATCAAAGAAAACCACTTTCTCACATCTCACTCCCTGTACCTCTCCATCCTCGCTCGCACTTCAACCTGAAATTCAGCCTCTCCGCTGCAGCAGAAAATATCCCTGGAAAATCCAGAGACTCTTTGCCCGTCCGAGTAATCTACATTGACTTAGCCGGATCTGCTGGCCCCCTTTACTCTGCCAGCTTCCAAGATTGAGGAAGCGAAAACTAAGTGAGGACCAGGAGAAAGAAAGTTTTTCTCTTTAATGATTCCCGAGATCGGCGAGTATAGCACACGTACCGGTAAATCTCGGTCGTTTGGGCTTACTCTATCCCCAAGAGCGACCCAGCTTTCGAACAGGCCGAAGTCAACAATATAAACAAAGACAGATAAAAAAGAAAACTTTATCCAATATAGATATTAATAATTACATATAGCATTTCATAGAGATGGAGCTGGGAACCAATATATAATCCAAATCATCCACTTGACTTCAGCCCCGCCATGTTCCCGATCTTTGACCAGCGAAGCTCGGTAGAAAATTCCCTCGGTTAAGTTTTCGAAAGACCACAAATGCATCAAAAGGCTGAGCGGCTGAAATCCTTAAAACAGCCTTCTTTCTGATTCCAGAAGAACATTAATTTCTCTGGATACATGGCCAAAATTCAAAAACAAGATCAGAATATTTCTACTCGCTCCCTCGGGTGGGCTCGAACCACCAACCTCTCGATTTCGGATATAGTCCTAACAGTCGAACGCGCTAGCCAATTGCGCCACGAGGGACTGTAACACAAGCGGTGCTTGCTCAGGTCATGTTCAGCGCCGCGGTTTAGGGAATAATATCCCCAGCAAAAAATTGGGCGATCTTTTGCCGACGAATTCCCGCTAAGTCGGCGATATTTTATTAAGTCCGATCTCCTCTGTGGACTGCTCGCTTTTGTTGGCAGCGCCTGCTTGTCAACTAAAAGTTCAGTTGAAATGACAAATCAATTTTTTTCCCCATTAAAGCAGAAGACATGAATTTGAAAGGGGCGACTGAAGATTGCGATTGCAAGAAAAAAAAAAACGAGCTTGACCTAGCCAAGCAAGACGTCTCCATAATCACTTGCGTTACAAGTAGAACAACATCACAGCCATGAGTACTTGCATTGCATCAATTGTTTTTAACTGTTTTTGTACACGCACAACGTGTTATACAAAATCATCATCATCACCCTTTCCCAATTCAATGCCCGTAGCCCCTTCTCCCATTCCCATTCAACCTCTTCCCATTAATCCTCAGGTCATAGACACTCATTTTCCTCGGCACCTCGTCCGTCAACGCGCGCCACATATCCATGATACCCGCCCGCCGAGCTGGTAACATGCTGTACTGCAAGCTATAGAGATTCTTACGGTGAATTGGTGGCACAAACTTGCCTGTTGCGAGGCAAAGGAGGACGCGGGGTGAGAGATAGTGTTTGCGGATGCGGTGGCCGAGCTGGAAGTATTGTTGGAACATCGCGCGGAAGGTTAGGGGGACAGACTATGACTGAATCAGCAGTGAGTATTATTAGGATGTAAGGGGAAAGACGAACTTTGAGGTATATGTGTGAGGTTGGTGGTGTTCTGAGGGCGGTATCAACCAATTGTTGCGTGTCTCGAAGTTCAAAGCTAATGCCAGCTGTTGTGTATTAGCAGCTGATTAGGGCAAGGTCAGGGATGCATACCTGGCAATCTCTGAGAATCTTTTATTCTCAACATGAGCGCGAAGAGTGGAAAATGGTTCAGGCACGCTAGAAGCGTATCGAGGGAGGCTTTCAGAGATATGATCGCCATGCGTGCGCATGCAAAAGTGAGGTAAAATACAATCACTGTTGGCAGCAGGAAGAAGAGAAGCGTGAACAGGATTGTTCCCAGAAGAAGTTGGTCCAGATCGTAGTCGCAGGAGTCGATACGTTTTCGGAGTACATTGTGTTTCTTTCCGCGAAATAGCTGAAAGAGGGAGAGAAGTATGGTGTATTGCCAGTTGTAGATCCGGGCCGAGGCGAGATAGAAAGAGTAGATGTGGAGGGTCAGCACCGATAGAAGATCTGAAAAGAGTGCAATTGGCATGCTTGCTCCTGCAAAGCTGGAGAATCCAATGAACCAGATAGCGTGGGGCAGTAAGGGGTTCAGTGCTTCAACGCAGCCTGTAGGGTCAGAAACAGTTTATAGGAAAAGGGGCTGCACATACTGCTCCAATGATCTATAACCCATAAGAAGAGGTCACCGAGAAATGCTGCCAACTCGTTGTTCAGCTTCAGACCCGCCGGATAGTCCTGGAGTCTTTAGTAAAGGGCGAGATTGAGTGAGAGGCAAACCTTACCATTAGCCACGCCAGCGTTGTTTGAAGCGCTTCAATGGAGTAGTCTTTGAGAATTCCACCTATGAGTTCCGCAATCCAGTCTTTGTTATCTATAAGGAAAGACCCCATGGCAATACCTATGATAACCTGGTAAGACAAGGAGGAGTTAGTCATTGTTGATTGAAGAGAAGGAAACAGATACAGACATCATTTGCAACGAGCCTACAGAAGTTAGTATCGCACTACACAGAGCTTGAATTTATCTGACCAAAGTGTATTATAGAACCTTATGTATTCTGGATGGCTATGTGTCACACTCTCCCAGTCATCCTTTCTCTTCTTCAATGTCAGATACTGCATAGGCCACTAAATAAGGGAAAGTTAGCAGCTGCCCCCTTTCCTGTTCTTATTTGCTGAAGGAGCAAAGTCTGTTGCAAAAAAAGAGGGTTGCGGCATTCTCAAGAGAAATTTTGAGAATATCTTGAGCTTGTTGCCCCAAAGTACTAGGTAAAGGCTTGTTGCCTGGTCTGGGGATTTAAGCGAGCTTTCGATTTCCCTCAGATTGACAGCAAATTTATAAGCACGACCAGCAGACAGGGGAGCAGAGAGATGGGCAACGACCCGGAAGACACTGGACTGATAACTTACGTAGCAAGCTTGCAACAACCGAATTTCAACTTGCTGAGCAGTGGCAGATACATCCTTCAGGGCAGCATAACCCGGCTTAGCCCTCCACTCCAGCATGACAAGAATTGCCTCCGCGGCCACCCGATGACATACAAGTCCAATGACAAAAGCTCGCCGTAGAATAGGGTAGAGGTAGAGGGTAATTATTTGCCAGATCGCCATCACTACAAAGTTTCTCATTGTTGTAGCTGACTCGACTACACGTTCTGACACGCTCAGACTCCGGCGAGTGCGTCTGCCAACAAGTGAAATGTTCTTCTGTAGTAACGAGTGAAGTTCGGACGAGCAGTTGATTTGGTTGACGATTCTTGGCAGAGCAAGCTCCTTTTGCGAGGCTGGATGCTTGGTGATAGTATGAAGCTTCAACTTATCGACTAAGTTCGTCATTTTTCTCCTATTCTTCAACTCTTCTTGCTCTTCTTGTGCATCCACTGTGCCGGGCTCAAGGATCAACTCGGCCTTGTCCCCCAATGCCAAAGAGATAGGGTTCAGCGATATGTACTGCATCCGGTGCGGCTGCGGCCGCTCAAACATGATGATCTGTATTGTGGATGCTCTGGCGCATGATATCCTGGGAGCTTTGGCGTTGGAGCCCGTGGCCGCATGCATCTGGAGAGTCTCAACCTCGGCGTCTGGAGTATTCGCGAGCCCCAGAACATGCATCGAAGATTGTCCGGAGAGCTCATAAATTCGTTCCATGGGATGCGCTGCATTTCGGAATAATGTGCCAGCCTTCAGAGCGTTTTCCACGTTCCGCGCCTGGATGAGGTCAGTCGATCCTCCTTGACAGCTTTCCCACGACTTACATCGACATCCTCTAGTATCGCTACAACAAAGACGTCCAGCCCAGAGTTCCTCCAGCCGACGATTACCCCTGGCGCATCAGACTTGGGTATATCCAGGGGCCAAAATATCCTCATGAGCCCGTCATGCTCGGGCATGACAGCTTCTTTGCCAGAAAGGTCGTCAGAATGATCCTCGACGACGCAGTTGTTCCCTCGCAGATATCCCCGCACTCCCAGACCGTGGGTGCTAGAATTGCATCAGCCAGCCATATCCATTGCGCCGAGAGTATGCGGGCACCCACGAGCTCGGTTTCCCTTAAGGCCAGTCTTTCCACCGGGATTATAAAGAGGAAGAAAAAGAGGGAGAGGATCGCGAACCCTTTCGCTGTGCGCGCCTGTTCAATGTCAGACTTTGAGATAGATTACTTGTCGAGCATACATGGCCTTACGACAACTCCGTGATCCCAAGCAAAAATCGCGAGCTCATAAAGTCGCGTAACCAGATCCCACCTTGCAGTGATATAGCCGGCTACGAAGATCGCAAGTGTGAGGACGGAGAAGGGGTGCATGAATCGCCGTTCGTTGCTTCAGCATCGCCGTTTTTTGTAGGTTCAATAGGTAGTTGTCTGGATGGAGCTGCCGATAGAAGGAACGATCGACTTGCGCGGAGTGTAAAGCTTTTGCATTCGTCGCTTGACTGGATTTCGAAAAGTAAGGAGAGTGTGATGGTGAGGGTGACAGCGAGCTGATGAGGCCCTCGGCATACGTCGTCTGAAAGTCTCACAGAGCACCAAGTGCTACAGAAGAGGCTGATTCTACAGTGACCAACCCAACACCATTAAACCCATACTTTGGCAAGGATTATAGAGATTAATGCAGATCACGTGGAGTAGAACCTACTCCGTGTATTTTCCAGTGCAGCACAAGGTATCTACGGAATAGGTATATTATTTACTATGAGCTGACCCCAGAGCTCCTCAAGATAGAAAATGGATGAATAATAACCTTCTTGAGAGCGTAAACGGAGAAGACGGGGTAAAGTAAGAACAAGCTCTAGATCTTTTGGACGTGTATCTTGTTTGTTGCAAGCTCATTCCAATGGCATGCAACAAGTACCTCGGAGAAGAGTCTCGCGGATATATGCTCCACACCAGACGCCGTCCCAATGCCGCTACCAATACTGTACATCATCAAATAGACCATATTCATGTTCTGTAGTTTCTTACAAACAATGAGTAGCCACTCCGAATCACATAGAGGCATTCCACTCACATTTGCGCCTCATGTGGAGAGCATCGTTCTCCTTGTGGTCCTCCCGAGCTTCTTCCAGCATCTTGTCAATACCACGTTCCTTCAGGGCCACCTATCCCAAGTTAGACTCTTCCATCATTGACTGGCTGGCTGAAAGTTGGGTGACTGACTGTCAAGCACTTTTTATAGTCCTTGAACAGAGGTTCACACTCGTCTGTTGTGGCTTGCCCCCTTAGATATTCTGGTCCGGTGAGTGAAGCTCTAGCTCATCCATCCATAGGGGAGAGTAACCAACTTTCGCTATACCATTTCAGGAAACAGGAATCGTAACGTCTATGATGATGTTAACCTATGAAGAAGAGGGAGGTGAGGAGGTCCTATTTACTCCTTCGCATCATTACATTCCGGAGCCAAAGAGGCAGACATTTTTTTCTTGGAATGATGTCTGGAGGTTGATGAGATGGGAAGCAGGGGAAGCCATAAATAAACGAGGCGGCCACCACTCGGTACACGAGGCTGAAGCCGCTAGCTAGCTCCCCCCATCGGTGTTTTCAAAGGCCGATCCGATGTTCAGATCTTTTTTTCTTCCAAGTAACTGTGCACTCTCTCGTCCCGCATTCCTTTGGCAACACTCTGAAATTCTGGACAATGGAGCAGACCCAGGAGTTCAAGTCCTTGCAGGACCAAGTCCAAGCTGCTCTGATCTCCACGACGCGAACTACGGGTCAGATATCCGCAGAAGATTTGGGGTTCCATCGGACCTTCAACCCAGAAGTCGGCACTGCTCTTGACGAACAAAGCGAACGCGTACTTGCTCTGGCCAGCGCGTTGCTCAAATCGGCAACTTCGATATCAGATCTACAGGCGCCGAGGTTGGAGGACGCGGATGATGTGGAGACAAATTGGCGCAATGTGGTGGACGTTGTTGATTCCTTGCTAGAGAAGTCCGACACCTGCCTCGACGAATATACTGGGGTGATCAAGCGCAAGGATTCCACCAATGCTGAGCCATCTACCCAGGTGAGGCAGCTTATAGCCCCAGTGCTATTTCCAAAAGCTCACCGTTTGCAGATACCATCAAGGTTTAAGAAACAAGGGCAAGGAAATGCTTACAGAAATCAAAATCTGCTCAAGCCCCAACTCGGCTTCAACGTCAAACCAGATAACAACGACGACTCGCCCTGGAAGCCTATCCTCTCCGCGAAGCCACATGCCATCACCCCCTTTGAAAAGAGTCTTAATACCTTCACAAACGAATTTGGACAGTTACAGTATGAATGTTCCTTTCTCCCTATCACCGGCGTCGCTGCCCTGGAGCCTGCCTGCTACGCCTGCGCGCTTGAGTTAGAACTAAATATTTTTATACGGGGGCCTGGTGAGGTGTTCAAAAGAGCAGAAACACGGCCATATTCGTCGAATCAGACAATACTGACGCTCTCGCAGGTATTGCCATCCTTACGAGCATGAGATCCTACACCTGACATATCCACAATCCATATACCAAAAAGCAGACCCCATTCCCTACCTACCCTTCGAGACAACCTCTGCGACTTTCGTTGATACCGAAGAGGGTGTGCGAGAGATGCTCGAGGAGCTCAAGGAAGCCTCTGAAATAGCAATTGATCTTGAGCACCATGACCAGAGATCATACGTGGGCCTGGTTTCTTTGATGCAAATTAGCACTCGGGAAAAGGATTGGATCGTGGATACACTGAAACCTTGGAGACAGAACTTACAAGTACTCAATGAAGTCTTTGCTGACCCAAAGATCATCAAAGTCTTCCATGGAGCTTTCATGGACATTGTATGGCTTCAACGGGATCTTGGTCTCTATGTAGTTGGACTGTTCGATACGCACCATGCGAGCAGAGCTTTGGGCTATTCTGGGGCGAGTCTGGCATTCCTACTCAAAAAATTCATTGATTTTGACGCCGACAAGCAATACCAAATGGCCGACTGGAGGATCCGGTGAGAGAACAAGAAAATACCCCACATGTTTGTGATGTTCGCTAACTCTGTAGACCACTGCCAGCTGAGATGTTCTTCTACGCCAGAGCTGATACGCACTTCCTTCTGTACATATTCGATATGGTCCGCAACGAGCTAATTGATAGGTCAAATTCAGAAGTACCAGACGAGAACAGACTAGAGATCACGCTTCAAAAATGCAAGGAAACTTCTCTTCTTCGCTTTGAGCGCCAAGTCTACAACACAGACAGTGGAAAGGGTCCTGGAGGATGGTTCTCGCAACTCAACAAGACGCCATCTCTACTCAGCAATGAGCAATTTGCCGTCTTCAGAGCGGTGCATGGGTGGCGGGACAAAATTGCTCGAATTGACGACGATAGTCCGACATTTGTGCTGCCTCAACACGCAGTCTTGACCCTGGCGAAGCTGATGCCGATGGACATGGTTGGTGTCCTGGGACTTATCAAATCAGGCTCACACAGCGTAAAGTCTCGTGCAGCTGAGCTACTCGATGTCATCAAGTCGGCCAAAGCCCAAGGGAAAAACGGTCCAAGCATGATAGACATTCTCCGATCCGACAAATCATCCTCCACCCAATCTGCAATCCCTGAATTCAAAGTTTCGGCTGCGATTGCAAAACAGGCCCCACAGACTTTGGTCGCAGTAATGGACGAAAGCGAACTTCGCAGTTCGAACTCGACCTTCTGGGGTGGTGCGTTTGGAAGCAGCATGTGGGATACCCCAGATTCGCCTCGCAAGAAGGCTGGCAAGAACGAAAATCTGCGTCTCGCTGTCCCTCTGCCACCATTGTCTTCCGAGATCTTTGGTACGCCCCAAGGCTTTGCCGAGCAAGCTGAAGTTGCGCAAGAGACGCCTCTTCCTGACAGCCCACCACCCCCTCCCCCTCAAGTTGAAGAAGCATTCGTCCTGAAGCGGGGTGCGAAGCGGAAGAGCGAGGCCATGTCAGATGTCGAGCAGGAAGGCGATGGCGAATTCGATATATCTCTAGATATCGAAGATGAAGACAGAAAATCTTTAAAGGCCCGACGCAGAGCCGAAAAGAAAGCACGCAAAGCAGCCAAGAAGAAGGCAGCAGAGGCAGCCGAGGCAGTCGAGGATAATGTAGAGGAATACGATGAAGAGCCCTTTGATTACAGTAAAGCCGATTCAGTGCTGCATGGTAAGAAGGGCGTGGACAAGGGCGGTAAGAAGAGTAAGCAGAAGCCGATGGATCCTTACGTAAAGAGTATGGATGCGCCGAAGGGGATGAGGAGGTTGCAGACTGAGAGGGCGGGCAAGAGCCATACATTCAAGAACTGAAAAAGTGGGAGCGGAGGGATATGCCATTATGAGATACGCGAGGTGATCTGTGATGAGACTAAATACTTTGAAAGCCAAGGTGGAATTATGATTGTTGTCGCCATGCTTTTTTGTATATCCAAATATTAGCGATTAGTCCTCGGCCCTCCCAAGGCCGACGCTCAATGCAGCGGAGGCTTGTCGATGAATTTGAATTCCAGATGCTGCTGCTACCAGCCAGCCTTTGAAGAATCTAAGTTCGTCCAGAATCCGCTGCTGATCGAAGTGACACGTACACACGCACGCATAACTTTCTCTTGTGAGGGTGTCTTTTCCACCGTTGCGTATGAACACGATCTCGCATCTCGAACTGGGTCAGAACCACACGGTCAGCTGGGGCTTCGTCTGATGCAGTCTCGTACAGCGTGCACCTTCTTTCTCCAGCTCACTAGGGCGGGTGTAAGAGAGAAAAGCTTGATCTAGACTCGCTTAATCCCGAAGGTAAAAAAATAGGATCGAGGGGGTTCCAGATCACGGTGATGGACGAGTTTGGTTGCATTCAGTTCTGTTCTTCCTCTATTCTATCCAGCTATGCATTCTCCCAGTCTGGAGCCATCCAACTACTGCTATCAACCAATGCATATTATATCTGTGATGCCTTCCCCCATCGCCCCAAATGCAAGAGCGGAAGAGCGTTGTCCAACTCTCCCTTGACCGATTTCATATCTCATGTCTCGTCATCTCATAAAGCACCGAACTCCCCTCTATCAACTCAGGTCCATCTCCTCCCCCTCGCCACCAGCCGCCTTCTCCTGCTTCGGCTCCTGCATCCTAGCACTCGTCCCAACATCCCTCAACAACCAATTCATCAGCCCCCACACAGCCTCCATCGCCTCCACCCTGTCCACCCCCAAATAAAGATCCCACCACCTACTCCTCCACACCACCACCCGCTCCCACTCCTCCCTCTCCTCACCACCCAGCACATCCATCAACGCCTCCGGCACCCTCGCACGCACAACACAGACGTGGTGGTTCAACGCGCTGATCAGAAATATGTCATCGTACCCCGTCCCTTGCACCTTCCCAATAGCCTCATACCTCACATTGCGGTCCCACATTGCGGACGGCGGGTTCATCTTACGGTACGTTTGGTACATCGCCATCAAATTGCCATCCTTTCCCTTCTTCAAGCGTTTGCCTGCCGTAGGAGTCCGGTCCGCAATACCGCCTATTTGTCGCTTAACCTCATTCGCCATCTTCACTCCGGCATTCTCCTCCACACCTCTTGAGATCTCGACAGGCGATTTTTCGGGCACCCCAGAAGCGGCGAGGGTGAGGGCGTCTTCTTCTGCTTTATCGCCTTCTTTGCCGATAGGGCCGCCTGGGCCACCGCCCCAACGGGGAGTGCTGGTCCACCACTTACCCTCCCCGAACCGCTTTTCTGTCTTGCCGGATCGGGCGCGTTGTTGAGCTGTTATGAGGATGGCGACGATTTCACGAGTCAGATCGAGGGTTTCGTCCAGAGGAGTGGCGAAGGTGTGGGTTGCGCGTGCGGAGACGGCAGCTACTGGTCCTTCAACTATGCCACAGCGAGCAACGGAGCTCTCACCCGGTAGGCGGTAGATGAAGTGCGCGGAAGAAACCATAGTCGTGGGCGGTCGTGTTGCGTGTGGTGGTGCTCGCGGGGAGGGTGTGAGGAGGAGGCGCGGTTCTGTGCGGGATGGGGAGACATTGCAGCCGAAGTCCCAGGCGACGAGTCTGACGAAGGCTGTGATCAGATGTTGGCGGCAGTCTGGAGGGAGCTGAGCACCATTGCCTACTGCAACGTGGGTTCGCATGTGGATTGGGATGGTAGACTTGTCTTTTTCCTCGGCGTCTGTCGAAAATGGTTCGGCTTCGGGTGGGAGGGATGTGTCGGGCCAGTAGCCGGATAGAAATTCTAGGTGCTTGTAGAACTCATACGCATTTCCTAGGCGTGCATTCGTCTCCCCTTTTGGTGCTGGCATCCGTCTGATACTCCTGAAAGCTGCGGTGTTGTCTATAAGCAACTCCTTTCGACGTTCTCTATAAGTCTGGGCGCCTGGTGACCGACCGCCGTTGCTGAGGCACTTTTGCGTTGCCCAGTTGGCATCTGATAATTCGCATGCTGGTATTGCATTCCACTGCTCGAATGGTGGGAGGTAACTGGCATCCGGGGTGAGGTCTTGTGGTGAGGCATCTGGGATCACGTGGATCCCGACGGCCTCAAAGACGGAGGGCTTGATGTCGGCTGGCCTATGGATCTTCTGTAGGAGTTCGACGAGAGGTGTATCTGACTGTGTCTGAAAGACCTTCTCTTCCGATTGGGGTGTGAATTGGGGGAACTTGACTGGCGTGCGAGGTGGAATTACCCTTGGTGCATTTGGTGCCGGGCCTGTTTTTATGTGAGAACTGCTCTACATTGGACTTGAGAATTACCCCCTCGCCCCACCCCCCAAAAAGAGGAGAATTGCCAAGTACTTCTCGATATCCAAATAACTGTGCTTGAATATGGGGGAGGATGGTTTGGAAGCTGTCAAAACCACCACCGACCTGGCGGAAGGAACTCCGAACGAACACCAGAATTGGGGCACAGCCAATGCTGAAGATAGCTTGATCTGGCCTATGCTCATATAAAGATCCAGGAATGACATTGACCGTAGAGGCAAGACACGCACATTGATTGCCATAATTCGAGTCTTGCGATCTTGGCTGGCGTTGCGATACGAAGCAAGATAGAAAGAGAGATATGCAGCTCTCAGTAGATAGGAGGAGACCTGCTTACCTAGTCCTATGTTTCCCAGCACGGAGAACATGGTTGCGTCCTGGAACTGCTGCTGTTGTTGAATTTGTCGTGGTTGAATTTGTTGTTGCTGTTCTTGCTGTTGTTGTTGTTGTTGTTATCGTTGTTGTTGTTGTTGTTGTTGTTGTTGTTGTCGTTGTTGTTGTAACAAGGTAGTTGTTGTAGCTGTTAAAAGCGCGGGTACCGCGACGGGAGCTACAGATAATGTATATACCTAAGGTACATACATATACATGTATATATTGTTACACACACATGTATACATATGTAGGTAGCTAATTGCCGTCAACTCCTGCAATGTTCTCCTCTCCTCCCCGCGTCGTACGGAGGATAACGGTGTAAGGCGCAGGAAGGATTGATTTGGTCGGATCGGATCTGGTGAGACAGTACGGCGTTGAGTTGTCGTTGTACCGGTACTCCGTCTGTACCCTCTGGATGATCGATCGATCACCTCGGTCTCAGGTCTCGGGTGCATCTAGAGGGAAGACCACGACTCGGCTCATGCACCATCCCACCATCGGGAGTCTCAACACCTCCGTGCTGTCGGTAGCTATTTATAAACACAGATATTCCAAAAAGAAATTTGTCAACATGCACGTAGTATGATAAGATGTATTATACATCAAATTTACGTAAACATGAATTTCACCATGTGGAAATCCGGTTGGTATCGCATGATCTCGAAGCAGGATATCCCCCTTTGTTTATACATACCGGTATATCAATACCGGTACATGGCAGTTCGGTATATCAGTACACATATATCAATACATATATCAGTGACGTCAAGCGCTCAATTGTAGTTTCAGGTCAGAAAGTCTGATCCAAGTCTAAGTTCATCCGTTCTGCGTGTATGACTCGTGACCCGGAGACAGACTGACAGACAGACTGACTGACAGACAGACTGAATTGGTTTCTCTTTGCAATCCTCCTCCTTACCCATCAATCAAATAAACAAACAAAAAATCAATCAATCAATCAATCCATCAACCAATCAACCAATCCCCCAAAGATATCCGAGAATGCACAAGTATCCCAGTGCAGCATGCCAGCCAGGTCAGCTGATCTTGAACATATCGGGCTGGAAGCGCACGGACTTAAGACTTTCTTCCTTTCTCTCGACCCCTGAGAAGTGCTCGAGCTCGTCTCAACTCAACTCAACTCAGCTCAACAAGACCCCTATTCCCCGTCTCGCATCCCTTTCGTTGTCCCCCAACTTACCCTTCGTCCACTTCGCGGAAGACATCGTGGAGGTCAACGTCAATATGAACAAACATCATGGCTGGGCTGGCGGTTTGATCTGATGGCCTGGGAGCCTCTTGGGTCGCATACCTACCTCCACCATTCTCTTTCGTCTCCGGATTGTGCAGCTGCAGCAGCAGCAGCGGCAGCACATTCTCGACCTTCCGTACCGCGACTGGCCTTGCGTTTGTTCCATTTTCCGTCATGGCGACCAACCCCAACCTGCCGGCAGGATTTTTCATAACGACCATCGAAGGGAAGAGGTGTACAGCGGTGCCGCGGGCTCTCACGAGCTTGCCGGGTGGCGGGCCAAACAAGGCGGCGGCACAACCGCCGGCTACAAATGCAATGCCGGTATCAACGCCTCCTCCTTCAGCTCCGGTACCCGTTGTTGCGACTGGTGTAGCGCCGGCGCAACCCAGTAGAGCAGCTGCGACATATCCGGCAGCGGTGGCAGCGGCTCCAGCTATTCCTATACCGAGTGTTCCGGCGCTGGTAGTAGCAGCCGCCGTCACACCGAGCACGTTTACTACGATCTTGACTACGACACCGACTTCGAGCTCTCACCACAACCTTCCACCTTTTGTAGCGCTTATTGCCTCTTCATTGGGAAACAAGAAGCTTCCCCCGAGTACTCCAGTGGCCGTTGCCCACAGTGAAGTGACAGCATCACCAACCAGCCATACGGGAGATGGCTACAGGGTGGATTTCGCGGCCCCATCTCACCCAAATTCATCACCTAACGTCAAATCGACACCATCAGCCGGGCCCAGGGAGTCATCAGAAGCCTTGAGCATGTCTTCCGACTCAAACCGTTCCATCGGACCCATCATTGGAGGCGTAGTAGGGGCTCTGTGGATGATTGCTCTGATAACATTCTTGTTTTGGTTTCTCAGAAAGGGGAAGGAACGACGAGAGTCGCTTCTCACTCCTTTAAACATTTGCCGACGAAGTCCTTTCTACGACGAGGAGGGAGCGTCTCCAGTACCGACAGGACGAGTGAGTAAGTGGAGGACTGAAATAGGCTACCGAACCGACCGAGCACGGAACGTTAGTTCAGACCTCGTAGGAAACCTCTCGGCATTTGGTGCATCTCTGAGATCCAAGGTCTCAAGAGATAAAAGCGATGCTCCAAACGTCAACCTCAACAGAGGAAATTCCCAGTTCATAGATGGGCCCATCCCGCAGTGTAGTACGATCAATTCAGCCCTATCAGCTACCGCAGCACACGCCATAGTCAAAAAGAAAGTCACAGATGGGTGGGAGCGTTTGCGCAACGGCGGCCTCTTTTTCTGGCGCAAGAAAGTTGAGCCAGCGGACCCCTTTGCTATAGCACGCAGCGAGAAGCATGCTCGCGGCAGCAACAGCTCCCCCGACTTCAACCGATTCCCAGGCATAGACCACAGCGGGCTTCAACGACAAGCCGAACATCGACGAGTCTCCTTAACACATCAGAGCCCCACCCTACCTCAGCTAGGGCATCTAGGACCGAAGCCCAAAGCAAGCGAAGCACCGTTCGTCGGTCCCAGACCAACAGCTTCACGGCACTCTCCCACAGGCTCCGCGAAATTCAAGCTCTTCCCAGACCCCATGCCCAAGCCTACCAATCTGTATTCTGATCCCCCCCCTAAAACTCCTCTAAAAGCTGCCATCCCAAATTTAAACACGTACATGTCCGACGTAGTACGCTCGCGCGACCAATCCATCGACGCAGTAACCCCAAGCTCGAACCACGCAACAGCAACTACACCCATGTACCACTCGCCCTCCACCATCAGCTCTCCTCCAGCAAGCAGAGACAGCTACCGCGACACCGTGTCCAAGAACTTTTCTGAAAACGTGCGAAAAGGGAAAGGAGGCCCCGACCCTTTCGATCTCGAGCGGGCCGAGCTGTGGAAACCGAAGGAACTCACATCTTCAAACCTCTACTCTTCCCCTCTAGGTACTTCGAAAGGCCCCCATGCGCACAACAACAACGAGATCACCAACAACGGATCCGCGTATGCCCAGTACCGGCAGTGGAAGCCAAGCGCTGCGCTCTCTAAATACAGCTCCGGCATGTTCGGCTGGGGTGACCCCGGACCGGGCATGGCACCTCGGAAGTTGAGCGATACTAGCAGCCTGGGGGCGAACGCCGGTAGCCAAGGGGGCAGCCTCGACTATGGGAACGGGAGTGATTCATTATACGCCAGTCTGGAACAGCAGTTGAAAGGTGCTGGTGTGACGAGGGGTCTTTCAAGTGCGAGTAAGGCGAGTAGTAGGGGGGGCTGGGGAAGGTGAGGTGAAGGAAGGGCCCCGGGCTGGGACTCATGGACTAATTGACTGACTACCTTCGACATTTACCAGTGGGGTAGATACGCAGTAACAAGGGTGCACGTCGAGCCGAGGGTGGGAACGAGGCGCGCCTCCGATAGAAATTCGCGGTGAAGCATACATTTCTTCTTATGAAGTTGATGCTCCTTGGTCGCAGATGTCATGAGCGGTGGCGCCAGGGCCGACCTGGCGTCTTTGTATGTGCTCATTTCTTTTCGTGTATGATCGGCAGGAAAATACCATTGAAGCAAGGAAACTTTAGCCGAGCCGAGGTCGATTCGAGAACAGAGGAAGGTTGTAATTGATGGGCATAGCCGGTGCTGCTAGATAGTTGGCTTAGCATGGGTAGATACGACGAGCACTGATGATGTGTCATGAAGGAAGTTCCTGTATATATTTGCGTCTATACTGCATACAGCGCAGTCTTCAGTGTTCGCTATTGCGTTCCTTGTATTTACTACTCGTGATCATCGCATCACCTCCACCATCTACCCATCCACCAACCCATCCGACTCATCTGATCATGACCTTCACTCTTCATGCGCTCGTTTTTTGCCTGCCACGCACTCTTAGTCTCCAATTCTATCAAAAGCGGCAACGCGAAACGTCAAAGATGGCACAAGTACAGGTTCTGAGCTCGCAAAGGGTCCACGTGCGCAAGGACAAATCAATCTACAATGCAGCGCAAGGGTGATCTAACTCTTAATAAGAAGACTATGACCAGTCATCTCCTCGGGTTGCTTCAAGCCCATAGCCTCTAGAATAGTAGGCGCGACGTCGCCGAGCACGCCATCGTTCTTTTTTAAGCTCCAGCCCTTGGGGGCATTGGCCATGATGAAGGGGACTTTGTTGGTTGTGTGGGAGGTCTTGGGCTTGCCGTCTTCAAACTTCATTTCTTCGGCGTTACTAGAGATACCCGGTTAGCATCAAGGGGGCTATTATTGACGGCTTCTACATACCCGTGATCAGAAGTGATAAACAAGATATAGCCTTCTTCCTTGCAGGTCTCGTAGATGGCTCCAATAGCCTTGTCGGTAGCTGCGACACCGATGATGGCAGCTTCATAGTCACCGGTATGGCCAACCATATCGGGAGGAGCGAAGTTGTTCATGATGAACTCGAACTGGCCCTCCTTTATGCGCTTACTCATCTGCTTAGCGACACCGGCGGCACTCATCTCAGGAGCCTTGTCGTAAGTGGCAACGCTCTTATTAGATGGGACGAGATCTTGGGACTCGTCTCTGGTCTCGAGAGGGAACACTTTCTCGACACCGCCGTTGAAGAAGAAGGTAACGTGGGCATACTTCTCAGTTTCAGCAACGTGGACTTGCTTCACACCTTGGCTACCGAGGGTCTCGGCGAGGACGTTACCCATGTGTTGGGGCTTGAAGGCAATTTGGAATGGGTAGTCGAGTTTGTATTGGGTCATGGTGGTTAAAGTGATGTTCTTAGGGTAAGCGAAGTCCTCCAATGGCGAACGGTCGTAGTCTCCGAGCAGCTGGGTGATCTCTCGGACACGATCAGACCGGTAGTTGAAGAAAAAGACTTGGTCACCCTCTGTTCACTGTGTCAATAACGATTCCGGATTTCGGAATTTTGGACCGACCTCCAATACGAGCCTCCTTGCCGCCAAGAATAATTGGCTTCAAGAACTCGTCGTTCTCTCCTTTCTCGTATCTCCCCTTGATAGCCTCGACTGGGTCTGTGCTGGTCTCTCCGTCACCAACACAAAGAGCATTGAGGGCAACCTCAACTCTGTCCCAACGCTTATCACGGTCCATGGCGTAGTATCTACCGACAACAGTCGCAACTTCACCAATCCCAATCTCCTTGATCTTGTCCAAGAGCCCTTGCATGTATCCAGCACCAGACTTTGGGTCTGTGTCTCGTCCATCACCAAAGAAATGGATGTAGACATGAGGGATGCCGATCTCCTTGGCAAGCTTCAAAAGAGCGTAGAGATGGTCTTGTTTGGCGTGCTATTCCCAATCAGCCTCGAGCCTCTTACTTGCAGGAATATCGACATACAACACCACCGTCCGAGATCAAGCCAGCCAAGTGAAGACGCCCATTGCCCTCCTTCGCCGCATTGAAAGCCTTCATGATAACCTCATTCTTGTTCAACTCGTTTTTCTTGATCGTCTGGTCGATACGAACAACATCCTGCCACACGACCCTACCAGCGCCAATATTCAAGTGGCCGACCTCCGAGTTGCCCATCAAGCCCTCGGGGAGCCCAACAGCCAGCGAGGAAGCCTCCAGCTCAGTGAATCCGTCAGTGTTCTTCTGAAAGGCGTCCATGAAAGGAGTCTCGGCCGCGGCAATGGCATCTCCATCCTTGGGCGACGACTCGCTGGGGATTCCCCAGCCGTCAATAACGACTACGCCAGACCATTACTATTAGCCACGATATCTCCAGGTACATAAGGCAGTACAGCAGGGTAAGTATGTAGTCGGGCTTCTTCTTGAGCCTCTGCCGTAGCTCGAGCGGGGTCCTCTGAGCCTTTGGAGAGGAATTGATTGGGGATGGAGATGGAGAAACCATATTGGCACTGCAGGAGCCCGGATTGGCAAATGGTGGTAGCATTCACACGAAAGATAAGTTTGAGAGATAACGTTTGCAATAAAGGAACGGAACATACTCAGCACGGTCTTGTGGTCGACGTGGACCATAGCGAAAGTCGTTGGGTGGTGAGGATGATGCTGGGCTGTATCTCAAATTAGGTGGGCTAATCTATGTGAAGCCGTCCAGGGGTGGGTAGAATAAGGTGAGTGCTTACAATAGAATACGAAGCGGATCCAAGTCCTTCTTAAATACAAAGGGATGCTTCGAAGAGAATTCTTGTAGGATCGTAGAGTTGTAGAGTTGTGAAGAGGATGTTGGGAGTCGGGACGGCTACGGAGAGATCCTTAGTGGGGTAATTGAGTTTTGGTTGCCGGATTTTCAAAGCCCCTCGTTACGGAGAATCGCGATAAGCTCAAGGTCCATCACCATCACCATCACCATTCCATCATCCCGACATTCCACTGCTCCACCATTCATCCCTTCCATTGCCAGTCACCACGCCCAGAAACGCGGATTCACTGGCCAAGTGGCGCTGGTACTTCTTCCAAACTGCCTTTGTCTCGTAATCCTCGCCTGCAACGAGTAGACGAGGAGCCAAGATGTCGAGCAGCACCCCCCAAATAACCTCAGCGCCGCCCTCTCATCTCAACCTCCCCGAAGGTCTTACGCCAGACTCGATTGACACCCTCACCGTCCTCTCTTCAATCCTCTCCCGTGTCGATCTCACGTCCAAGAACCCCACCGCCTCAACCGCCGGCTCACCACCAGCTGCCACGCCCTCGCAGCCCCCTGCCGACTTGGACCATGGTCCACTCACTGTCAGAGACCTGCCAGCCGCGACGGACGGGCTGAAGCACAATCTGCAGAAGGCGAAAGTGTTGTTGAAGCAGCTGCCGGATCTGGAGAGGAGTATCAAGGAGCAGGAAGACGAGATGAGGGATCTGGAGGCGAAGGTTGGGGAGCAGAAGGCCGTGTTGGCGCAGTTAGTGGAGGTGGGAGCCAGTGTCAAAAGGGAGAGAGAACAAAGAAATCGAAATGGTCGAGCGGATGATATGGTGGAGACTTAAGACTGACTGCTTTAAATACGAAGATGGAAATGAATATTCAGAGCGACCTTGATGGCTGAGGTGCAAGGATGCCGCCTAGACCTGTCACTAATGTGTAAGCCCTCTAGCCCTTCTGGAGGGGATCCCATGCGAGGAAGGATGGGCCAAAGGCACATGAGATAAGTAGTTCTGGATTCGGTGTCAAGAATGAAGATGCCAACAAGAGGCCCAGCAGCGTTGGATAGACGCGACATTGTTGAAGGAGTGCAGGAAGGGTATATGCATTGTTAGACAACCACAATTTACGGAATAGTCCATTAGGAGGCATTGACAGTCCCAACTCCATCGCTATTGTTCACCTTGATCCACCAAAAGCCCATGAAAAAGCACTGTTTCCACCCGGTCCCTGACACTTGGTTAATCTAGTGTGGTGGAAGTCTGACTTTCTTCAGAATATCTGCAAGTCCAAAATTTGGACCCCCAGGAACAACCTTTGTCCAGACAGATTCCTCGAGGATCTCATCATCTGGCACAAGAGTCCAATTTGGACTATGCCCTGCCTTGAGCCAATTGAAGTCGTCAACTTGGTCCCATTGGTTAGGGACGATGTTCTCGCGAGTTGTGTTCTGATCAGTAATGAGTGATGGACTGTGGACAAAATCAGGCGGAATTAGTTAAAGTAACTCACATAGCATTCGGGAATTGGGGAGAACCGAACGTTGCTGCAATACTCAATGATGGGTCGGCTGGCACAATGAAGGTAGATGTCCACGTCGCGGCACTCATGCATACGGACCTGTCTCGCAGCCACAACAATGATGCTGTTCTTGACTCCAGTTATATGAACAGCACCTGCTACATGGCCAGCAATGATCAAAGACTGTTGGATATCCTGTAGTGCCAGACCAGCAAAGGGCGCGCCATTTGTCGTCGGTACAGACATATCGACGATGCATCTATTTAGCTTAGTGATAGAGCCCGAGGAGGTAGCACGGGATGCAGATGAAGGGAGAATTATGTGGAGACCGTTGTGGCCGGTGATGTTCACACTTGGAGCCTGAGAGAAACTTGGTTTTCTGACTCGGGCTCCTGGTCGATCCATCTCTTCGTTGTAGTTCTTTGGAAAGGATGGGAGGTCGCCGAGTGTATCCTTTGAACTAGTTTCACCAGGTAATGTATTGAAAAGTCCTGGTGTAGTAGCCATGGAGGATTCGTTGGATGACAGAAAACTTTGCCCCGATACGGGAGCTTTGAGACCTTGCTCTTTCGCCAACTCGGCTGCCTCACTGAGTGGATTCGCTGAGCTGTTCTTTTGCGTGGTCTTAAACTGGAATCTCTTCTTCGGTGCAGCCTTGGTGCGAGCCTCCTGCAATTTATCCTCTAAAGCTCTGATGACCTGGGATTTAGTTAGCGGCTGATTGCTCCATTCTGTATCGTAGCTAGTCACAAGAGGAGTTTAGGGGCCTTGGAGATGGGTACGGGCCGGACGGAACAGAGAGAACAGATAGATATACAGAAATTCTAGCTGACCTGTTGGTAAATTCGCTGATCATAGGCCGGTACAAATGGGATTGCATCTGTGACCTTGTTGGAAAGCTGAGTGAGGCCAAAATTAGCATGATCGATGGCATCTTGCTGCTCTCCGGCAATGAAGCTATAGCTGTCGATCTGTTCGATCTCCTCATGGAGTTCTGTGCTTTGCTGTTGGAAGTTTCGATAGAAACGTTGGCTGATCTCTGCTTGGGACATCTTAGCCGGCTGGATGGGAGTGAATTCAGACGAATCCATCATCTCGTCTTGGGCCATTGCTGTACACAGGTCCCATGTAATAATCCGTTGCACCTTGCAAGGCACGAAGCGTTGGTGTCAGTGTCAGTGTCGGGGGATCGGGAGTTTGGGTTCTGAGTTTCCGGAACGCGGGGAAGAGTGGAGTGGAAGAGTGGGAAAGTGGGAAAGTCGAAGAGTCAGTGGCTGCAGGTCTTGCTTGCACAGAGTTGCAGAGATAAAGCCGATCAATGACTGACTGAGCTCTCTTTTCTCGTTTCTCGTTTCTCGTTTCTCGTTTCTCGTCGGCAGCTTCTGTCGCGAAGGACCGGATTTGATGAAGCTTGAGGCCTTAAAAGAGGTGAGATGTGCAGTGGTATCGGAAACTGAATTTATTGTTATCGCTTAGACGCGGGCTGTTTTATTCGGCCCAGGCTGGTAGGTCGCGGCTTCCCGAATTAGTGCGGAATCAGGTGACCAAGGTGGGAGAAATGGGGGAAGGGACGGTTAGGTCAGCTGACAAAAGGTGTGCAGGCGATAGTATAGATATACCGGTACCTATAGGTTTATAAATATAGATTGCATAATGTAGAACAATGAGCGAACAACGCAACACAACCGACCATCAGTCTATACCAAATGTGTTTGCTCTGAGCTGTTTGTTTGACGCATTTCATAAATGACCATTAGCATATCAATCGATAGCCTTGCTTTAGGGCCCTCAATTCAAAGAAACTTTCATCCTGGCATGGCTTTGGCATGGCTTTGCAATGATATGCACCAAAGTATGTAGATGCCCTAGGTGATGGGGATAAGCAAAACCACATAGCTCCCTGAAGAGGCCGCCTCTCTGCTCCCTGGTATCTGGCAACAGTGAATTGCGCGAAGGAGCTCCTCGTGAGAAGATCGTAGGACCCTTGGCCTCAAGCCGCAAAACCCCCACGCCTTTCGAGGGGAAATGATACGATGAGATGTACAGACATGCTTGATCCCAAACATCATATTCTTGTGTAATGTACATTCCGGGCCCCATCGATCCAAACCAAGAAAACGTCTATGACTTTGCGGGCACCTCGATACCATACTTCTCCTTAATCCTCTCCCTCCGTCTCTCGTCGTATCCCGGTCCGTACACACCTAAAAGAGCAAGGTTAGTGGGCTGAATACTTTGGAAGGAGGCCATATACCTCTTCCCTCTCCGATTTCTGATATTGTCTGGTCAATTGGCCGTCTGCGATTCTTCCTCAAAAGTTCTTTCCGCTCGAACTCATCCATCTCTGAGTCCTTCCTGTATCCGGTCAACGCTCCGCCTGTGTAGTCGTAGGCACCCATAACCACCGCTGTCAGGGCACCAAATCCAAGGACTGCGGGTGTCGTTCCAACTGTGACAACAATCAGCTCTATTCCGCCCTCTGAAGCAGCCCTCATCCTACACGTACATCTCAATCCCAGCACAGATCCAGCCAGAAATCCTCCGAGAGCCGTGTTCAAACTATCGTCCTTCTCTCGCAGGTTGGCGGACGCAAATCGTGTAAACTCATAGGTGCCTCCCATAGCGGCTTCACACCAGTCAGCCCAGCCCAGTTGTCGATTTTGGTACCGTTAGAACATACCAAAAACAGCGATCGTGCCTCCCGTCCTCGTGAAGACTCCCCATGCGCTCACGTTCTTCTTCGTCAGGGAGTTCTGGATCGCAGAGACCAGTCCGCCAGCCGCGCCGGTGATCATTGTGCCATTGATAGCAGCCTTGATGGCATCATGTGGGTGGTATGCCTCATTTCCAGGAGCCATGTTGACTGGTGCGCCGCTGGCTAATTGGTCTGGTACTGCGGTCGTCGTCGTTGATATTGAAGTTGAGGTACTTGGAGAAGCTCGGCAACTAAGCCGGTGGGCGATCTAAGCTCATTTGGGGCGTATATTGATCCAAGTAATCGCAGTCTGTTGCCAAGCTTACCCACCCCAGCGGACTCTCTGTGTTGTTCAGCTCTGAAATAGTAGTATTTCGCAGCCTGCATACGTAAATGCATACGCACGCAGGCATGTACTGGTTTTAAATAAGTACTCTCATCTACCTGCATACTATCCCTCCGATTTCAAGCTTATCGTGAATCATAGGGCTCTCTTCCAGCCGCGGTTGACAGCTACCCTGCCTGTCATCCATCTCGGAAAGCCCATATCAACCACCGCATCTCCAACCCGCATCGTCAAAGCTACTGAACGAGCCCGACAAAAAAACACCTACTTCCGCAGAAATCCAACGAGTGAAACTGAGGCCAAGGATTCAACGCTCGTAACGACTGGCAACCGCTGATAAGCTGGGGTCGACGGAGGTGACGAGTGTACGCAGAGGCAGCGGAAGAAAGGGCCGGGAAAGAAAATACTGTCCACGAGCTGCAATTGCCATGGATTCCAGTATGATGTTTCTTGCGCCAGGTCTGTTACCTTGCCAAAATAAACCCTTGTGCTTTATCTGCCTAGCTTAGGTACTGATACCCATGGGAAATCCAGGGAAGACCGCCCCCAGATTGATCTTGGACCTTTTGAACTACGACCCCCGACGGAGAGAAAAGAGCGGTAGAAATGTACTGGCGGATGTAGAACCACGCTTCAAAAAGGGATTCCTGTCTCCCACCGCACTCCCCAACGATTGCCAACATTCTCTCGCGAGGAAAGATGCCCGAACGCGCGCCCCAGCAGCACACGAGCTGCCACACAATGAGGCCGAGTATGTCGTGGCTGCGTACTGTACGAAATGTCGGTACCACTTCACAATACGTGTAAATTTTTATGATCGGAAAGAGTTTCAGGTGCCTTGCAGGCAAACTGACAAGGGAAATCCTCTACACCATTTTCGATTGATACAATCGCCGACAATCGAGAAGGACAAAGTATCGAACAAGTACGAGCCGCGGAAAGAGACTTATACCTTTTTATGTTCGGGTCAGAAATGCCCAGCTCTGCTCGATATCGGAATATCTGGACCAAGACTTCCGAAGTCCCTACTTGGCCTGATCAATGACAAGAAGATTCTTGGTGCTCGTGGGCGAAGAGAATTGGATAAAGATCCCATCAGATACGAAGGCCAGCAGCCGTCGACACCGGCGAATGCCTACTGGTATCTTCGGTCATACCTTAGCGACGCGAAAGGGGCCACGGACCCGGCCCAACTGAAGAAAATCGCAAAGCGGAACAAGAAATATAAAGTCACATTTGACGATGAATGCGATGAGCTTTTCGAGCATCTCGGTTTCGTTTCCGTCAAAGAGCTGTCCCAAAATCCCGATGTGAGCTGGGCTCTTTGGCCTCTCTTTCTATCCAGTACAAAATGATAAATGCTGACATCTCTCGGTAGGAGGGCATGAATGGTTTCTGGCAGCTTCCTATCATCACGGATGATAATCGATATTTCATTGACGATGTCATCTTTGAACTCGACACAATCCTTGGGCAGCTACCGCAGGCTGATCAGATGGCAGTGGCCATGAATTTCATCGCTAGGCCTGTACCCGCGACGAAGGATATCGAACGAAGTCTCGGCTGTGCTGACTATCCAACCAAGTTCAGGGAGATTGATTTGTCAACGGAAGAACACCCTTGGTTTCGCAATCTCGGGGCGGTTGACAACTTCACTGATGAACTTATAATTTGGGCTTATGATCGGCAGTGCGAGTGCGATCCGCGTAATAAGCCATATTACCTTGATTGCCTCGAAGGTATCGCCCAAGGCCGGCAGAGCTCAGACTTGGAACTCAAATTTACCATGGCAGTTTCCGTTGGCGAGTATGGACTGGCGAAACTGGAAGATGCATACAAATATTTTGGGCTGACACCCGGTACAAAAGAGGGAGATGACCATGTTATGGGCCTCTACAAGTCTCGCATAGCTGCGGCGCCCAAACAGAAGAATGACGCTATGGCCGCGCTTCTCATCATTGCTAAACATAGAAACAGCGAAAAAATCGAAGCCCTTGCTACAGACAACACCATGACTTACGAGGAGGCTCTCGAGCTCCTTGGTGTCACTGATGACTCTCCTTCTGATTCCATTGAGGCAGCTTCTGTGGTATTGGTAAGTCCGCCCGCACAAGCGTCTTTGAAAGATTTGGCTCCTCGGTCATAAGCTATGTCTAACACATGCAGGCACTCGATATGGACAAAGCTAGAGTGGCTGAGGCCCTTCGAGCCATTGCCCAACGACGTGGCAATGACTTTGGTCTCCGGAAAGCCGCATCGGCGATGGGATCTGGCCTCGGTATCGACGAAGCGTACAACCGACTACAAATCGGACCTGCATCACGGAATGCGCCTGATGAAACTATCTTCACTTATTACCAGAGCTTGTCTGGTGGAGCCCCTTCCGGATCCAGGGATAGCTATTCTCAAGCTCTGGAAACCATCGCCTTGGACAGAGGGAGTAATTTTCTGCTGGCAAAGCTTAGCGATCCTAATGCAGAGGTACCGACGAGTGCTGCAGAGCCTGTCGGACTCGGAAACATTGGAAATACCTGCTACCTCAACAGCTTACTCCAGTATCTGTACACTATCAAGCCAATCAGAGACATGGTTGCTGACTTCCAAGACTACCGAATGGATATCACACCTGAGAGTCTGAAGGTCAAGCGCGTTGGAGGTCGTCTGGTTGATAAGGACGAGATTGTGAGGGCACAGCGTTGTACGTTATCCCACCTTATTATTCGAGACCACACTGACAACTTAGTCGTTGACGAACTCCGGAACCTCTTTGAAAGCCTCAAAACGGCACCCGGGCGTTTTGTCACGCCGAACAAGGAGCTGGCAGAATTGACGTTGGTGAGCCAGGAGAAGAAGGAAGAGTTCCTGTTGCAACGGCGGAAATCTATGAGCAGTCCTGCAGTCCCTCCAAATATAGCATCGGTTGTGGAGGGTCCCGTCTTTGGTCCGCAATTGCCCCCGCCAACCACAACGCAATTATCCTCAAAGACTGTGGACGAAGATCTTGAGATGATAGACTGGTCTGTTGACACTGTGGAGACCCGTGATGATAGCAGCGAGGTCACTCTCGTCGACCCGGAAACATGTGCCGCCAAACGCGAAAATGATGTCAATTATGAGAACAAGTCTGCTTTCCATGGTGTTGAAGGTTCCAAGCCGGATGTTGTTATGGTCAACGGCAGCGACGAACCCTCTTCCATTCCCGCGCCAGAAAAGCCGCCTCCAATCCCGCCTCGCAACAAGCCTGATCTTTCGATTTCGACGGACGGGCACAAGAACATTATTGATGGTGAGACGGCCGACCTTTTGAGCTTCGGCGCTCAGCAGGATGTGACCGAAGTTATGGGGAATGTTATTAATCGGCTACAATGCGCCATAAAGCCGACTGGCTTCGAAGAAGATATGGAGCAAATCGACATTATCAGAGACACGTTCTTCGGTACAAATACAAGGTACATTCAGAGGAGCGATGGGGAACCTCCAAGGGTTGAAGCCTGGCCCTACATCATTGCCTACCCCGGCAGACATGATGATATTCGGGACCTCTATGAGTCTATTGACGTCTTATATGACGAGCAGCTTGTTGACGTCGCGGGCTCGAAGACACCCTCGTATATCTCAATCAGCAAACTCCCCCCCATTCTTCAATTTCAGGTTCAGCGTTCCGATTTCGATGACATTCTCAAGACCTCTTGCAAGAACCATATCCACATGCCTTTCCCAGAGACGATGTACATGGACCGTTACGTTGACACTGCGGATCAAGACTCGGAAATCATGCGTCGCCGCCGCGAAACATGGAAATGGAAAGCCCAACTGCGAGACCTTGAAGCCAGACACGATGCACTCAAGAACACGAGAGGGGACATCAATATCCCAGATGCACTCCTTGCAACTAGAAACTTCATCACCAGCCTCCAGGAAGAGGACATCGATGGCATCGATATCTCACCAGAACTGTCCATGGCTCTTGAAGATCGCATCTCCGAAGTAGCTGCCGAGCTCGAGGATATCAGCAGACAAATGGACGATCTCAAAACCAAGCTGAAAAATCAGTTTACAGACCTGCGCGAGTATGAGTACAAGATTCACGCCGTGTTTATCCATCGCGGCGAGGCGCGTGGCGGCCACTACTGGGTCTACATCTACGACTCGGAGCACGATATCTGGCGTGAGTACAACGATGAGCATGTCACAGAAGTCAAGGACCGCCGGCGGATCTTCGAGAAGGCCGGTGGTGCCGATGGCACCCCGTATTACATGATCTATGTGCGGAATCACCAGCTGAAGAAAATGGTTGATGTGGTGTGTCGGGACGTACCCGTACCTGAGCTACCCGCCGAGAAGCCAGGTGCGGAGATGTACGTGCGCATGGACGTCGATGTGATGACGACGTATGAGGATGCTGAGGAGGAGGACAGCAATGTGAGGCATGTGGAGTATGCGAAGCCGAGGCCGATCCGGCCGAAGTTGAGTGATGTTCCGCAGAGTTTGGAGGGGTGGCAGAGGGATCTGCAGGACGATGCATCGCCTCCGTCTTACAAGGAGGGTTTTGACGCTAACGGAAAACCTTGGTGATGAGAAGGCGAGATATGCGGAGTTTTGTACACTTAGGGTGGCTGGTGGTCATGGAGGGAATATCGGGTTGGGAGGGAGGGCCTTGGGGGTAGGTGAGCGGAGGAAGATGCAATTATCACGATGACATGAACGATGGCAGAACACAGCGATGATATCCATTTTTTGATTTGTAATTTCGACTGGACAGCAAGTCAGAGGCTGGCTGGCTGGTTGGTTGGTTGGTTGGTTGGTTGGTTGGTTGGTTGATTGATTGGTTGGCCGGCAGCACTTACCTAGGTAGCATTATCTGCATTTGCATCTGCATTTACATCTGCAGCATCAATGGACATTTTGCATTTTGCATTTTGCATTCCGCATTCTGCATTCTGCATTCGGGACCCGAACCCGACCCCGACCTGGTCTGTAATCTCTGGCTGGTCTTGTCACGTAAGGAGAGGAGAAAAGGGGGGTGTGTGCTACGGTACCGGTAGATACTAGATACTAGATACTAGATACTAGATACTAGATACTAGATACTAGATACTAGATACTAGATACTAGATAAGGGTCCACCAGGCAGAGGCAGCTTCTCTGCTCTGCTCTGCTCTGCTCTGCTTAGCAGCTACCGGTACGGTAGGTAGACCGGTACTGTATGGAAAACCTCGAGCCAGGTTCGTCTGTCTGCACGTTGGGTTTTCCACCTTCTTCTCTCTCTCTCTCTCTTCTTTTTTTTTTTTTTTTTTTTTTTTTTTTTTTCAAAACTGGCCGAGTCAGGGCAGCGTGAGAGAGATTTACCTTGTTCTCATGTTCCCGTGTTCCCATTTCCAGCCAGCCCCAACCCCGCTTGCGAAGATCAATACGAAAGTTTGGTCAGGGAAAATCATGGTATCATTCAAATACCCACGGTACAGGCCTAAGTATTACCCCTCGAGGGTGCCTCAAAAGTTTAGTTTCCACTTTAAACCCCCTGGTTTCCCTACCCTCGAGGGGTAATACTTACGCCTGCGACGTAGTACATACATAGAGTGCATAGTTTCATCGTTCATGCGGCTTTCATAACCTCCCCGCCACCCTGCTGCCACAACCACAGCGCCTCGACCGCATAAACCTTACTCCCTTGATGCCCGCCCTCCAACCCCGCAGCCTCTTGCAGCGTCTCCAACACCTGTCCACCCTTGATGCACATCCAGAGCCCATGCGTTATTTCGCTCTCGGGACCTCCCCACTCCCCTCTGCCCAGCCTATACAGCAGTCTCCCCAAAGTCTGGAACGCCACGCATCTCTGCGCGGGAAACGCCGATCTCGCCAGTCGCGCCAGTTCGGGAACCGTGTAGCCGGCCGCTTCCGGCGCCTCGCCGTGGTGATGCAGACCTTTGGTGACCGGAATCGCACGAGCAGTTCGGGGCGGAAGTAAGCCGCCCCGGAAGTCGAAGCGGATGGCGTTCGCGTTGACGCCTTCTGCCAAGGGGTAGTAGGGTGATTCTTGGTCTGCAATCGAGTCCTTCGTGGGGAGTGGCGCCATCCAGGCTAGTTTCGAGGGATCGGCCGGGAGCGTCGGGAAGTATTTGGTGTGTAGGGTTTGCAGGAAGTCGGGGTCGGATGGGTCAAGGTCGGGGGCAGAGGGTGCGGACGGAAAGTGTATCGAGGGTACGAAGTCTTCAGGAAGAGGTTCACTGGGTGCTGCAGCGGCTTGTAATCCTATGGGCTGCGAAGGCTCGGATTCCTCGTCTTCGAAGCGGATGGATCTTGGGGGGTCAATTCGTTTCCCGGTCGGTTTGGGGGCCGGGGTGCCTTCTGTATCCGATTTCTTGTTCGTATCTCGTTGCTGCCGCTCGCTTTCCTTCTGCTTGGTCTCTTTCCTCTTTGCAGCGATCTCATCTGGGAGATCGATCCCGGTGTCGCCTCTTCCATCGTCCAAGTGTGGCCTCTTCAGTAGCATCTGGATTAGAGATGGGTCCAGACTCGACATAAGTTCCCTTCTCTCCTCAGCAATCTCATCTGGCGACATAGCTGCCAGCCTCTGCGTGTTTTCCTGATCGATCCTCCGTCTCTCCTCGTCCATATCAGAATTCTTCTGTTTCAATGAAGGTCCATTAGTTGACGGCGGGGGGCGCGTAGCAAAAGCATTCCCCGAGTCGCCAACTACAGGCTTCACCGATCCAGTCCTTTGCTGTTTGAAAGTGGATACTCGTGTGCGCTTCTTGTGCTCAGGAAAGCCCGATGGTGTGCTCTTCATCTTGGGCGCTGAGGGAGGGGCAGTTTCGCGTTCCCTGATGTCGGCCACGAAGGGAGATGATATGGACGGCATAGCGGTCGACGGGATCCTCGAGCTGGGCTGGGACAGGTCCTCATCGTCGGAGAAATCGATCTCGAATCGCTGGCCGCGCAGGTCCATGGTTGTGAAGTGGTTTTGGAGTTGTTGAAGATGATGATGCCCAACTCGTTTCCCCCACTGTGGGTGGGATGGATGCTAGGGGGAGAGCTAAATAAGGCAGGCTAGCTGGGCCATGGGGTGGGGTCGTGGTGCACAGACCAGCGGCGGGGCCCATACAGTACAGTAAAACGGGGACCCGAGATGAATTTGGCGCTAGTACCGTAAGGGGTCATTCGTAGGTACCGGTAGATACCGGTACCACGACATGTCAAGAGGTAAGTCAATACGGTAGGTAGGTAAGTAGAGATAACGACAATCACAACAACAATAACAATAACAACAACAACAAAAACAACAAAAACAACAACAACAACAACAACAACAACAACAACAACAACAACAACAACAACAACAACAACAACAACAACAACAACAACAAAACAACAACAACTACAACACAACAACTACAGCAACAACAACAACAACAACAACAACAACAACAACAACATCAACATCAACATCAACATCAACAACAACAACATCAACAACAACATCAACATCAACAATAATCCAATAAATTTGGCTCTTCTCCGGGATATGTGTTTATTCCCGAAGTCCAGGTGTACCGGTATTGAATTGTAATTATCATCATGGCCACCATGCACGTTTCATCTCATCTCGTTTCGTTTCGTTTCGTTTCGTCTGGAGGCGTAGCGTACCGACGGATAGGTAGGTAGGTACGGTAGGTAGTAGGAGGTACCTTACCCACCATCCCAACCATCCCACGTTTTGCCACATTGGGTCGCTTGCAAAGGTTGGTATCAACAAGCTTCGATTACCTACGTTAAGGTCGAGATTGAATATCTCCGAAGCCGAAGAGCCGGGTGCTGTGATTGGTTGCTTCAGGCCTGCCCAGTGTCACCTGATCCCGATGCGGCAGGTCGGCTAAGTATCTACGGAGTACGGAGTAGGTAGTATGTGTGCGGTTATGGGATACGGATACAGTAGGTAGTTTTGGTTGGTTGGTTGGGTGGGTGGATGGGGTGGATGGGGTGGATGGGGAGACGGTGGATGGTGGGTGGCTGAGAGCCGAGCCGACAAGAGATCAATCGATGAATCGATCAATCGATCAATCGATCAATCAGTATGAATATCCATGTCCATGTAGGTCTATCCATAGCAAGCAACATCACCTTCACCATCACCATTACCATTACCATTCATTACCATTACCATCAACATCCAGAACAAGATTAACATCAATGTCAATGTCAATATCCATATCCATCTCCATCTCCATCCCCATCCCCATCGCCATCTCCATCTCCACCTCCACCTCCATGCCAATATCCCAACCCATTATCAAAATCCCCTAATGCTTCTTTCTGTCTGCGCCCGCCCTGCTGGTGCCCCGTCGGATTCCTTCAGTCGCTCAGTCCAGGCAGGCAGTTCCTCCTGAGTCCCCAAGGCCCCAAAGGTCCCAAAGGCCCCAAAGGCCCCAAAGGCCCCCAAGTCCATCCATTTTCCCATGATGCCCCAAACCAAATAAAAGTCCGTACGCTTGCTCGATCGCTCGCTCGCTCGCTCGCTCGCTCTGCACGTCCGCGTTCCTTTTCATCTCATCCCCTCCCCCCTCCCCACCATTACCAGCACCCGCAACCAACCCCTTCTCTCTCCTTCTCTTCCCCTTTTCCCCTTTCTCTCTCCCACAACTCCACCACTCCACCACTCCACCACGGCCACCCCTCTGCCACAACTGCAATCCCCCCCTTTTCATCGATATCCCGCCATCCGCCATCAATCACCACTATCTGGGACCCTTATTCGAACCCGACAATTCGACTTGTTCCGTGCATCGACTTAGACTGCACCCGCCTGCCCTGCAATCTGCACTAGATCCAAATTCCCATCTGTGCGCCGTCGTGTCATTTCCCTCCTGAAGCTATTCCGAGCGAGATAGCACGAAAACGTGACGAGCAGGCAAACGACGACGACGACGACGACCACCACCACCACCACCACCACTCATTCCGGCCTGCATCTTACCACGCGTCTCCCCACGAGACGACGACTCCCATCATCTCGGCTCGCCCGTAACCGATATTGGGTCGGCGCATGTACTGACGAGCTCGATGATGGCGACTACAGAACGCCGCCGTACCATGGATGAGACGGGGCGGGCAGGTGGAGCGGGAGGAGGTCTGTCACCTAATTCGGCCAGTGAACTCTCCAGCCCTCCTCGATCCAGTCCCGACGCAGGATCGCCGTCGCATCGCATCCAGGATGAGAAATCCAACAACCACGCCAGCCATAAGGTCAACAACGCCAGCATCGCCGTCAACCCGCCGCAAGTGCAACCGCAAGTGCCACCGCAACCGCAGTCGCAGTCGCAACCGCAGTCGCAACCGCAACCGCAAGCTGGCGTCCTGGAAAACCCGGCTGACCAGAAACCGCCGCGCAAGAAGCCCGGCCGGAAGCCGGGATCCACCAACAAGCCCAAAAATAATGACAGTTCAGCGACCAACACCGATACGCAGGCGCCCAAGGTGAGGAAGCCGCGAAAACCCAAAGACCCGAATGCGCCTCCGGTCCAGCGACGAAAGCGCAATGCAGCTTCCGATGGGGCGCAGCAGCATTTGGACATCGTCTTCGCGAGCGAGGTGGGACGGCAATCGCCACACCCACTGCAGGAAGCCCCGCCCAATTTCCAGGTTCCCGTACTCGCATCCCAAAACGGTAAAAGTGAGGATATACCACGTCCGGCTCAGTCATTCTTCAACGCTCCGGCCCCACACCCCTCAGCACATCAACAACAACAACAACAACAACAACAACAACAGCCACAACAACAACAATCACAACCACCATCACAACAGCAACAGCAACAACCTCCACAGCCACAACAACCACCGCCTGCCCCGCATCCCGTGCAACATCATACCATGTTGCGCACCAGCAGCAGTGGTCAGAACTACGATCCGATTCGATCAAATTATGACCCGGTGAGAGAGACCGTCGTTAGTCACCATCCTTACAGCATCAATTCACAAGGCTCGCCCAATCACCCACACGCATTGAATCGCGCCAGCGCATCCCCATCGATTTCCAGCTTGGTCGACCCTCCTAACCAGTCTTTGACGTCGCCTTCCGTCGCCACTCAGTCATTTTTCAACCAACAACAACAACAACAACAGCAGCAGCAAGCTCGGCTCCACCAGCATGACTCAGCTTCGGGCCCGCCATCTCCAACGGTAAATCGACAGGCCCCTGCGGCGAACGTCGAACCAAAGATCAGCCCAAACGCACAAGGGCCCGCTTCCTTTGTGAGCAGAAAGTCTGATACAATGGCACCGCAACAGGGTCCGTCGACAGTTTCCAGAAAATCGGGTCCTTTGAGCACGACCAACTCATCGGCTGCCGCCTCCCCCAAACCCCAGAAGCCCAAGAAGACTCCAGCGGCATCAGCAATCGAAGAAGTCTACCCAGCACCTCCACCACTTCCAGGATCGGGCCTCATGGGTATCGGCGGCGGCGGTGCCGCAGATGGCACCGAGTTTCGCGCCCCTACAGTCATTCTGACCATTCCCATGAATGGGGAGGTCAACAAGTACATCAACTTCACGCGTCTGGCCGAGGAGCAATACGGATGGGACGCGCTTCACCCTCGATTGGCTGCTCAACGCGACAGGTTGGCACGTGTCGCCGCCGCTGGTGCTGCCCTCGAGCGCCAGGGGTCCAACAAGGACAGCGGTGATGAGATGTCTCTGGACTCTGAAGGTGAGGGCGACGTGAGCAACGTCGAGATGGGCGGTATGAGCGATGGACGGACTGGCACGGACGGAGGGAAGAAGGTCCCCAAGAAGAGAAAGATGAAGGAAGATGAATACGATAAGGATGATGGGTTCGTCGATGATACGGAGCTGCTTTGGGAAGAGCATGCTGCGGCTACTAATGATGGCTTCTTCGTCTACTCTGGCCCACTGGTTCCGGAGGGAGACAACCCTGCGTTGGAGATCAGGTATGTCACGTTCTTCTCTAGACGGACTTGTTCCGAACGGAACACGGTTAACATCTCCCAGCACGGCACCAAAGCGAGGACGCGGTCGCGGGAGCAGGGGTGGACGCGCCGCGGGAGGAGCTCGCGGCGCTGCTGCCAACAAACTGCTCGGCTCCATCCCCCTCGGCCACAACGGTCTCCCAATCCATGGTCCTGGATCTCGCGGTGGCTCTACGACACGGAAACCCCGGATCACCAAAGCAGATCGCGCACGCATGGAGCAGGAGAAGCTCGATAGAGAAAAGATGGGAGGAAGCATGGGCTCTATGCCTGCGAATTACGGAAACGTGCCTCACGTGGCGAGTGCGCCGAGCAACCTCGGGTCGACGCCTATGGTTTTCAATCAATAGATGATCATTGTTCTTGTTTGCGTTGTGCTTGTGGTAGGAGTTGGCACCGAGCCCTGGCTTGGTTTGCGGGTTTCATTTTCTCTGTATAGTTTGTCGGAGCTGTTTGAGGGAGGGGAGAGAGGCGGGGGGGGGGGGGAACGAGAAAACCCAAGGTCTATCTCGGATGGATGCCGGATGGATGTGTAAAATAGCCATATCTGCCTCGCTTTGCATTGCGAAGTTGAGGATAATTGCATGAGGAGAGAATGAAGAGTCTTGCATTATTTTCGCAGATCAAGGAGGTAATATGCTCCAGTGAGTGATAACTTCTGCGCATGATTCGTTGAATGCAATACATTGTTCATAAAAAGTTGAAGGCAACAACAAATATTTCGGCTCCGCTACCCCAGACTTGCTATGCTCAAAGCAGCAGGCAGCGTTCTTCCAGCATACGTCCAGCTCACGCGCCATCTTATGGTCTGTGCGTTCCGCCAAGGAGAGAGGCATCTTTTGTTCACGTCACGTCACAGGCACAAGCTAACCCTAGCATGCGATAAAAGCTAGTTAAAGCTTCAGAGCTCGATCAAAACCAAACATCGACAAATTGAACTTCACCCTGCATCCTCTCTCACTCGCAGCCCTCACTTCCTCCACAACCGGCTCGAAAATGGCGACGGCAACATCAGCAGCACCCCTCGAAAAATCAAACGAGCGACCGAGCGCCCTGCGCTCGATTATTGCTGGATCGACGGCGGGTGCGGTCGAGATTGCCGTCACGTATCCTGCTGAGTGTATGTCCCTTTGTTTTTGTCTTTTGTCTTGGCCGAGAGAGGGAAAGGGAAGGGGAAGGGGAAGGGGGTCTTGATTGGGGGATTCAATGTGTGTATGTGGTGCTAATTGCAGAGATAGTTGCGAAGACGAGGACGCAATTGAATCGCCGGTTAGGAGATGGGCAGAAGTTACCGTGGCCGCCGTTTGGGAAGGCGTGGTATGCGGGGTGTACGACGCTGATCATTGGGAACTCGTTGAAGGCGGGGATTCGTAGGTCTTTTTTTCTCTTTCCTCTACTGCGAGTGGACGAACGGGGTTGTGGATTGGGGTGGTGTTGGTCGTTTGGGAGAAGGAGTGCTAGGTGCTGAGTGCTGAGTGCTGAGTGCTGAGTGCTGAGTGCTGATTGGCATGGGCAGGGTTCGTGGCGTTCGACCAGTACAAATCAATGCTACAAGATGCAGATGGCAAGATCTCAGGCCCGAGGACGGTTATTGCTGGGTTCGGGGCGGGAGTTACAGAGTCGCTGTTGGCTGTTACGCCGTTTGAGAGTATCAAGACTACACTGTTCGTCTCCCAACTTCTACTTTGGGAATGCCACCCAGATCTGACACTATACAGAATCGATGACCGCAAATCCGCCAAACCCCGCCTGCGAGGCTTCCTCCACGCCGTGCCTATCATCGCAAGAGAGAGAGGACTCAGGGGCTTCTTTCAAGGCTTCGTGCCCACAACCGCCCGTCAGTCAGCCAACAGCGCCGTTCGCTTCAGCTCCTACGCCTTCCTGCGCCAGCTCGCGCAGTCGTACACGGCCCCCGGGGAGAAACTAAGTACCATGGCTACGTTTGGGATCGGTGGTGTGGCGGGACTGATCACGGTATATGCGACGCAGCCGCTGGACACGGTGAAGACACGGATGCAGAGTATAGAGGCGAGAAGCCTGTATCGGAACAGCTTTGCGTGTGCGGCGCTGATTGCGCGGAAGGAGGGGGTGTTCACCTTCTGGAGTGGTGCGCTGCCACGGCTGGCGAGGTTAATGTTGAGCGGGGGGATTGTGTTTACGATGTACGAGAAGAGTATTGATTTGATGGCCAGGCTGGATCCGGAAAAGAAGTACGTCTGACGTGGGCGAGGGACAACATGGGATTTTTGGGGATCTAGGTCTGAGGGTATATGCACTCACTTCTCGGATGAAGCACGGCGTTGGGCGTTTACAGATATAGAGAGGGCCTTGGACCAACATAGTCGTGATTGTATATTCATTAATGGTACAGATATGATGCGCTGCCCCTCCAGAACTCCAATGGTATAGATGTACAACATGTAGTTCGGATCATTCCTTAAGTTCGCATGTTAGAGGCCTCATAGCCTTCCCTTGAGACCTCCTCTCGCTCTGAACTCGGATACGGCCTTTTATGTCTCGCTAGGGCCAGCACCCTACTACTTCTTATCATTGAATCGCAAGAAGCCCTTCCATCTTTTCATCGTCCTCTCCATCCACCCACTCCTCGGCGCCTCCTCCAGCTCCTTGATCAAATTCGTGTAATGATTTGGATTGCTCTTCGGCTTCATCAAGGCCCCCGTAATCGGATACTATGATCCCGCGGAGCAGAAACAAGTTAGCCTCCTCCTGTCCTCTGTCCTCAGCCCTCTCGCATCTCCTTTCCTCTCGGCCGCTTCCGGTCTCGTCTCACACATACCTTCCGGCTATATCGATTCTCCAACAGCGAGTACAGTGCATTAGCCTGCTCCAGCTCCAGCTTCTCATCTAGAGCGCGGTTGGCTGGGAGGGGGGATGCTGCCGTTTCAGAGCTTGCCGCAGGAGCAGCAGCAGACGCGGGCAGGAAGCGCGAGTCGAGGCGCCTGCGCATGATATCCTGGAATTGGCATTCTGGACGGAGGGGGTCCTGGGGGAAGCGCGCAAGGGCGCGAAGGTGGTGCTTGTAGGAAATCTGTATATTTTTTTTTTCGAATGGTCAGATTATAATTTTCTTTTTTTTTCTTTTTGGATGGGATGATGGGCGAGGGTTTGGTTATTGACTTGCGGATTTAGACATTTGGTGAGTTGTGATTATTGTTGTTCGTTGAAACAGTGCGAGAGACTTGAGAGAGTCGACCTGGATCTGTCCCTGTCCATGGTTCAAGTCTTGACGTGCATCATAATGCCATTGGATGCGGCATGCGCTAAGCCCCAAGCCCCACCTTAACTGGTTTGGGAATCCGATCCGACAACTCCGCCCTTCAACTACCGATCCATCTGTCACAGTTGAACCTCCTGATAACTTTACACCATCACCCTCCAACCACCGACTACCAACCACCTCACATCACGCTCTTTGCCCTCACTTTCTCTTCCCTTGTACCTAAACCCAATCTCGGGTCGGCCGCCACTCCTTTCTCTTTGTCCTTCCCCAAAACTACTACCAGAACGATAATATGGCTTCGCAACGCTATGAAAGAGTACGTCTCATCGATCGCCACGCAGCCCGTACGATGTTTAGTAGCATCTCAGGATATCTCTCTAACAGTTACACACAGGTGTCTGCGAATGATGCCGAGTCGCCTCTAAGCCCGACCATACCTAGATCGCCGCCACCGTCCTTCAGATCCCGCGCTTCGTCCCCAAACTCTAGACACGCCACGGCTATGGAGGACCAGAATCTGGCTGATACTTTCGATGCGGACGGGTCCGACAGCGATGAGGAGAACGACGGCGATGATAGACAGCGATTAATGCGGGGGGCGTCCGTGGTGACTTTGACTGAGCAGATCGATGGGACAGACAGTGAGGTTCAAAGGCCAACGGTCATCGAGAGGAGACCGATGCCGTTCCCGGCTTTTGTTCCTCAAACCCCTACGAATGGAAGAGTATACGGCGGTGGATCTGGCTCCGATGGTGTATTCGCAAACCTGAGTGCTAAGCCCGAGAGGGGTGAGAAATTGGAAGAACACCCACCCGTACGTCCTACCTCGAGCGGTGAACATGTGACCTTCTACTGACGAAATACAGACATACGAGCAAGCAGCTGCAGATGCCGCGCCCCCTTACTGGGAAACAACCATTCTCGCACCCGGTATGGGTGGGCCCGACGAAGTCTATATCGACGGCCTCCCCGTCGGCTCTGTCTTCTCCTTCATCTGGAACGGCATGATCTCCATGTCGTTCCAGCTCGTTGGCTTTCTCCTCACCTACCTTCTACATACCACCCACGCCGCTAAGAATGGTTCTCGAGCTGGCTTAGGCATCACGCTCGTGCAATATGGCTTCTACATGAAAGGGTCCAACATCATCCCGCCGGTCCAGGACGGCCAAGACCCCCAATATCAACAACCCCCGGACCCTAACAGCCACGACTTTGACCCCAACGCCGTGAATGGAGGCCGCGTGGACTCGGGAACTGGAGGGCTGGGTGATTTGGGGATGAATGATATCATGGCGTACATCCTCATGATCGTCGGCTGGTTCATCCTTATTCGCGCCGTCTCCGACTTCCTGAGAGCAAGGAGGCACGAACAACTAGTCTTGCAAAGCCCGGAACGGGGGTTGAACGTGCCGATCATTGCTACGGGTGAGGAACCGGGCACGGTGGTCTGAGCTTTGCTCTGATTTGTAGATATGGGATGGAAAGGCGTTCAACTGGAAAGTTTGCAAGTTGGTCTATAGCAATCAGCGGGGCGTTCGAACTCGGGTGCTGAGTATACTAGACGCTGGGGATGATGCCGAGGTTGCTTGGTAGATCTTAGCACGTATATTCATCAATCGCATCTCTGAAGATTTCAGGTTTCATGACTCTGGCATCTTGCGTCCTCCAGGTGTCACTAGTGAATTTCTATCGGTATCGATATTGAGTATCCTCCCGGTGACGCCTGAAACAAGCCTTGGGATTAATTGTTTTGAATTTTATTATAGTACATGCAGGTTTCAGAATGTCTTGCTCAGATCGAATCAAGCATCGTAGTACTGTAAGGCTTTCTTTCTTTCTCCCTTCGCTTCCCATTCCCTTCGCTTGTCTCTCCCGGTCTCTCTCTGATTCTGGCCTGAGGTTTTCCATCGCAGGGAAGGGGGGGAAGACGCCGGGGAGGTGTTATTAGTGGTAGGTACCGGTAGTAGTACTGTAATACTGGGAGGTAGGCTGGCTGGCTGCCTGCGGTTTTCAAAGGGGAAGAGGGGGGAGGTGGGGTTAGAGATATGTTGAATTGACAGTCGAAAGTCGGGTTTTTGCTGTTTGAGAGGGTGGATGGGTGGGTGGGCGGCGGAGCGTCTTCTTTTGGTTGTTCTTTGATTGGTTGACGTTTCTGTTTGGGGAGTTGGGGGAGTTTGGGGGTTGGGGTGATTGGGAGTATGTGAGAGGAGATACCGTAAGGAGGAGATGAGATGAGAGGAGTGGAGAGGAGGAATCGTATGTACCCACTGCTAAGTACTAAGTAACCTGCAGGATGTTTGTTTGTTTGTTTGTTGCGTGGCTGGTTGGACTTACCGGTACTTTCGTATAGGCAGTCGTAGACCTGGGCATGGTTACTCTGTATCTGTGGAAAAAAAAAAAAAACCACAATGATAATAGTAAATTAATAGATGAATAGATAAATAGATAAATAGATAAATAGATAAATAGATAAATAGATAAATAGATAAATAGATAAATAGATAAATAGATAAATAGATAAATAGATAAATAGATAAATAGATGAACAGATGAATGAATAAATAGATGAACAGATGAAT